ATGGGGGGACTGGGACAAACAAAAGAAAGGATCGGGCGAGGGCAAGGGCGATCTTCGAGATGGACCAGCCGCGCCCAGCCCAAAATAATCCAAGCGCCGTTTCAAAAACCCTTCGAAGGAGCAGCGCGCCGGGGTTGTTTGCGCTGCCTTTTCTCGCGGTGAGCGCGCAGGGCTTCGGCGCGACCCTCCGCGTCGTAGATCCTCGGCGTCGTCGAGAGCGCGGGGGGTCGGCCGCAGCAGGGGTGGTGTGGGGGGGGTCGGCTAGATGCAGGGGGGAGATCGGGTGCGATCGCGCCCCAGAACAGGCCAGTTCTGCGGCGACCGACGTCGCCGAGGCCCGCGCTGCTCCCAAATCTGATGCTGGCGGCGAAAAACGGGGCCAGAGAAAGGCTGGTAGCAAGGGGGGTGGCAAAGGCAGGTGAAGGCAACGCCCCCCGCTGGCGTCGGACGGAGCGCCAGGAATGCCTTCTCGGAGAGGGCTATAAATGCCGAGCCACTGCTCCAGGGCACAAGCAACGATGATGACCACGGACCCGAAGGCCCGCGTCGAGAGGACGCCCCAAGTTCGAGACGATAAACAGTCGCGATGCCTGCCCAGCTCCGTTGCGACTCGGTGCGTCGCGACTCGGCGCGCATTTGGACTTGCCAGTTAGCGCTGGCACGCGTCATTTTGCCAATGGCGATCGTCATTTAGAACCCGCCACACCTGTTGTGTATTTTAAGGGCACGGTTGATTCTGCACCTGTCACATTGCCAGACAGGGTAGAGAAATAATTTATTGTCATATCCATGTTTCACACCTTGCTTCCGAGAGCTGCCTTAAAGCTGCGAGAGGTATCTTGCCAAGGCCTAGTTGCGCGACGACGGCGCATTTTATCTCCCGCTGTATGTGTGTTCGTTTTCGCCAACGTACAACAACCCCTGCCATCGCTAAAAAAGGGGCCCTTTTTGGAAAGGCGCCCCCGTCTTCCGCTCGAGACAAATGGTATTTCCCCGGGGAGGTACAGTCTTGAATGAGTTTCGAATCGAGATCATCATCTCTTACAGCTACGTTGAGGGCCGCAGCTTGACTGGGGTATGGAACTTCTGGCTTGAATGGGGAAGCAGATCCGAAAGCAGTGTCGCCGTAGGCGATCGAAGACATGGCCATGTTAACCTTGGTTCGATGCGCATCGTTGTTGACGCGGGCTGCGGTTTAAACTTCACTGCGGGAAGATTCATATAGAGTGCCGATGCTATGGGTAAGATCCAGAGATTATCTCCAGGTAGCACCCCGAACAATGCCGGGGGTTCCAGTGGGGCCCTTGGCGCAGTCAGCGCGGCATGCAGACGATTCAAGGATGGTCGCTTCGACTTTTCCGTCGTGCCGGCAACTCCGAGCGCGCTTTCCGTGGGGCAACGGCGCATTGATTATGGTTTTAGTTTTTATCGGCCTGCGGGTAAAACTGCTTATTAATTCTTGCCCAACGGACGCAGTGTAAGCCTGGCTGTCGACGGTGAAATTCCGCATCTGACGTTGGCAGGGAGAGTGGTGGAGTTGCGTTGTGCCAGGCGCCAAGGCTTTTCTGGAAGGTGCAGAGGTTGCGGGGCCACGGGCACGCGCGCGCGAGAATTGATTGCCGCGCGCAGCTGCGAGGGCGGACGACCGGCACAACCGGACGGACCATCGCCGCTAGGAGGAGACTTTGTGGATGTCATCACTTGTTTTTGCTTTTCGCTTCAAATCGCCAGTAAACACGGTTGGGCGCTAGTGCGACTAGTAAACACGGTTGGGCGCTAGTGCGACTGGCATCGTTGTTGACGCACCATCGCCGCCGACTCCGTCGAGGGCGTTCGGGGCGGGGAATGCGAGCAGCTCATGGCGAGCAGTCTCGGGGAATCTACCCTGCGATATTAGTGGTGGGCGCTTCGATTCCGCCCCCTCGCCGGATGCCCTTGGCGCGGGCGAATTGCGGGCCCCGGCGGCAATGAGTTAGCCGACGTTGCCGAACCGCCGGCCGAGCCTGAGGATGTAGGCGTTGCGATGACAGATGTGGAGCGTTTCAGACAGGGCGCAGTCTCCATCAAACATATTCTCATTCATCTCCCAAGGGGCCCATGTTGCCATGCGTGCAGTGCGGCCAAGGCCCCCTCGCCTGCAGCATAGGGAGAGCCAGAACACAGGGCTGAAGGTTTCCAGGCCGTGCTCTGACCCTCCTTGCTTCGGGCGCCTTACCGCCGCGGATCGCTGGCCTGCGGCTGACGAGCTCTCGCAGGGGCTCCACGGGGAAACTGCGTGCGTGATGTGTCGCGATCGCTCATCGAATCTAATTGCTGCGCAGGGTGTTCATGGCAAGTCGGCCGCGCATGTCTGCATTTTCTACGTGCGTCAGGGCCACGGGAGAAGAGTGTGAATATTGTTGTGCTGATGGAGCCCAGGGGCTTGCCGTTGCATGCCGGGGGCCCAAGATTGCGCGCGGTGCCGCCATCCCTGGCGACGAGAAGCTTGCGGCCGCTGCCGAAAGGTCGATCGGTGTGGTCCAGATGGGTGCAAGCCAGATGGGTGCAAGCGCGAGGCTAGCGACCGCCGGCCTTGCACCCCCCCTCTGGGCGCGCGCCGCTGGTGTCCCTGCTGTGGCGCGAGGCGAGGCAGGGGGGGGACATCTAATTTGCAGGCCCGATTTGGTCTACCATGTCAGGCGCCACTCTTGCTCTTCGTTTCTCTAATCCGCGACATGCCTCCTCCTGGAGCGATATCGCGGGGCCAAGACTGGTGCTATCATGGTTCCAGGGATCTAATTTGGGCATGTCCACAGAACGGGAGAATGGCAGGGCCTGGTAGTGATGTTTTTGCGCCGCTGGGGTCGCTCGAGGCTCTAACTTGGTGACTGGACGGAGACCTGATAACGCGGGCCGTTTGTCGAGAAATCATGATAGGCACTCAGTAAGAAGTTCTCGACGAGACAGCTGATTATCGGCTGCCTCAGTTCCCCATGAAAGACGCATGCGAGAAAGCCATATCCGAAGTTGCCTCGGTTATTGTGCCGCCCGAAGACGCGTCCGACAGCTCCTCGAGCAAAACGCCCGCGGCCGCGGACAGCTCAGACGAGTTGCTGGATCATCCGACTCCACCGCCGCCCGCATCTGCCACGGATGGTAGCGGCGAGGCCGCAGTTGATTCCGATCCTGAGTCCATCCCTGATGATGGGGGCCCGAGAGGCGCGAAGTTGGGTGAGGGGCCTGTGGATGTCGACGAATATGATCCACGCCGTGACGCTCCTCCAGAAAACAAAGGGAAGCTTGGATTTCGCTCTGTCGAGTACATGTTGGAGCGGCAGTCATTTGTTTCTCGTGGGTGTAGTGGTTTTGCTGGTGCTTCCAAGCTAGGGTAGCTGCTCGCTCGCGCAGCGCTGAGTTTGTTAGAGGGTTAAGCCTTTCTAACGTGATAATTCCGCATCTGCCGCGATTCTCCTCTTCTCCTTTCTCCGCAGCCATGGGCTCTGGCTGCGATCTCATTTTTTTTTCGGGGTGGTGGTGGCCCCGTTCTGATGATCATGCTCGATGGCGTTGCGACGGCCCCCTTGGCGGCGATGGTAGCCGCCGGGGTCGGCCCCCCTGGCGCCGCGCGCCGACCCGAAGGCGTCGCCCGCCCTGCCCGCCCGGCGGCAGGTGGGGGGGCGGGGGCCGCCCACAGGGGCTGCGCCCCCGAGGTGCCCGGCAGGCGCCCGGAGAGAGGTGGGCGAAGTCCCGCGCATCTGCGCCCCGCGGAGGACGGGGGCGGCAGGAGCGACCGGGCACCTGCCGTTGACCTGGCCCCGCGCGGGGTGGGGGGCCCGCGGGTGGAGGCGCCAGGGGCGGGCCCGCCTGCCCCCCCCGAGACGGCGGAGCCCCCTTCCTTCTGGTACGTTTGCGGGGAAAGGGGGCAAAGGGAGAGGCGGCGCGCCGCTCCCTCCGAGCCCCCGGGAGAAAGCTTTCCCAGCTGCTCGCGAAGTTCTGGCGCTGGCCAGGGCCGCTCTGACCCGCTTCAAGGCGGACGGCGGAGGCTGGCCTCGCGCGGCCCCGCCGGCGAGGAGGCAGGGCTCCGACTTCGAGGCGTGCACGGGTGCTGGACCGATGGGCAGCGCCGCGCGGCGGGCGGCGAGCCCCCCGGGTGGTGCCCCCCAGGGCCCCGCTCCCGCGCGAGCTTCCAGGAGGGGTCCGCAACTTGTTGGGGCCCTGGGCGCCCCTGCCCCAGCGCCTCCTAAGCCCGCAGCCCATGCCTCCAGACTGGGGCGAGGAGGGGGCGGCGGGGGCCCAAGCATCGGGGCCCTGCCCCGCGGGGTCGCCGCCGGGAAGCCCCCCTCCAGGGAGGGCGGGCGGCTCGGGCTTGTGTCTCGGCTGGCCAGCCTTCCAGCGCCAGGCCCGCCCAACCTCCGCGGCGCGGGGCCTTCCGGCGGGCCCCCGGCGGGCCCGGGGCCCGGGGGGCCCAGGCATGGCGAGCCAAAACAGCCGGGGGCGCCAGACAAGCCGACGCCAGCCCCCCGAGGTGGAGGGGCCCGACGGGGGAAGAGCGGGTTCGCTGGGTGGGCTGGGCGCCGGCACTTGCGCCGACGGAAGGCGGCCCCGCTCGAAAGGCGGAAATTCAAGGTTCATCGCTTGGGTGGTTCTTCTGGACGTGTCGATGCCTCCTCAGGGCATTGGATTAGCTCGCGCACGTGTCCATTGGGGACCGTTTGGTGGCCGCGACGGACTGCGCGGTTCGTTTCCCTGTAACGCTCGCCTTCCTTACGCTGGTCTTCTTGGGCATCGTGTCCTGGATGTGGTTATCCGCCCCATCTGTTGGGTCCGCGGTTGGGTGCGGCAGGGCCACTGCCTATAGGGGAATGGTTCGCAATGGTCGAGGATGAGCTGTTCTTCGTGAAATGGAGCTGGACTGGCGCGGCCCTGAAGGGCGCCCAGTCGGCGATGATTTTTCCCAGGGCGGCATCCGCGCGCGGGGCGACCGGCCCCCCCGATCCCCAACCATCTGGCAACCGAAATCGAAGGCGAACGAGTCCGCCTGGATCGGGGACTGCACGGGGTGCCAATCTAGCAAACGAAGCGCCGCGGGCAGGAGTTCCCGCGCGCCCAAGTTAATATGTGCGCCAGCCCCGACATCCGGGCACGCCTGCAGAGGGCCCCAGGCAAGGTGATCCACCTCTGCCGGGGCGGGGGCGCTTGTTGCCGGGGCACCCGGCCGGCAGCCCAGCAAGAATGCGGGGGCGCCCGCCAAGGCGGCCCTGGTCCTTGCAGAAGACAGCACGGCGGGGGGCCCCTTCCTGCGCCCCGACCAGGGCGCGGATCCGGATAGGACGCCGGTGCCGATGTTGACGCCGGGCAAGGCTGGACCAAGGGTGCTGCCGCTGCCGCGAGCGGGGCCTACGCAGGCCCAAGGGCCCGGCGGGGCTCCCAGGGCCCCGACCCGACTTTACGGCGGTCGCCTGGGTAGATGCGCAAGGTCGGTTCTGTCGCTTGCAGCACTGGGGAATCCGCGAACTTAAGCGCATGGCGGAGCCCGCCCCGCCCCTCACGGAGGTCGCCCTGCGCTCCGACGCGCGTTGGTGGGCGCGCAACGCGGGCGGAGCGAAGCTGGCCCACCTCTGCTGCTACTGCGATTCCGATTACCAGGCGTCACGCTATAAGTTTTGACGCGGGGGGGCCCGCTGCCGCCGGCGGGGCGGCAACGGGGCGGCGGTGCGCCGTCGCGTGGCGAAGTGGGGCAGGGCACCCAAACCGGCGGCGCCCCGAGTCGAAATTGCCGGCCCATTCGAGCCCGCGCCCTCGCAGCTTGGGCTCGGCGCCCCGCCCGACCGCATCCACCCAGGCTGCGGGCTCGCTTCCCGGGGCGCCCCGGGAAGGGGGAGAGAGGGGCCCCGGCGCGGGAGATCGCGGGAAAAGAGGGGGGGGCCCAGGGCTTGCGCCAGCGGCCGCCTCCCCATGCTGCGGGGCTGAAGCACGGGCCTTTGGGCTTCCCGCGCTTGGGCCTCCGAGCCCGCCCGCGGTCCTCGAGAGAGCGGGGGGCGCCGTGGGGCGGGGGCGTCGGGCCCGCGTCTACGAACCCGGGGGGGGGTCCGGGAGAACCTGCTCACACGCAGTCTTCGGATGGAAGGGGGGGGGCGATGGGGGGGGCTCCGCAGCCCGAACGGCTTGCGCCATTATTGCATCAACCTTGGCATTTCTGACGTTCTGGATCTACTCCAGGAGGTTGGAAGTCGGCCTCGCCATCGGGCCGGCTCGCAGCCAACCTATGCCGACATTTGGCCCTCGATCCTGGCAAGTCTATCCTGGCAAGTCTTCCTGATGGGGAGGGTCGCCCGACTTTCTGGCGACGCCCTTCTCATCTCGCGGCAAAGCGGTATCTGGGCACAGGTGCTGCCGAGAGCTTGCCGTGGGGGCTCTTCATCGGGCGCGCTGCTTCGCCGGGAATGGAACGACCATCCAGGCATATCCAAAGGTCAGTCTCAAGAGGATCGAGGCTTGGGTTTCTGACACATGTATCCAGGCGAATCATTATTCGCGGGCTGCAGCCGACATGACCGACGGGGATGCGGCCAATGGCCGTCTTGCATTTATTCGGAAGAATTCTGAGGGTACGACGCCCCAGTTACGTCTAGTGGCTCGCACTATGCTGATGAAGGGCTCCCACGTTTTCCAATGTAAGTTGTACCTTGTGGTCGCCCGTGTTCGGCCTGTCTTGGCAAGCTTGCAGGAACTCCCTGTGAGCCAACAGCCCAATAGAGGCTCAAGGCTCGGGCGTATTGGGTGCTCCAGCAGGCGCCTCCCGCATGGTCTCATGCCGTGCAGAATGCCGTGCAATTTGTTGATTCTGCACGGGTGGCTGAGAACCCGTAGGCCGGTGCTCAGGCGAGAGAGTGGCCCGAGGAGACAGTGGCAGCCTCTGAAGAAATCGTCGAGATCAAAATGGTACCAGATTATGGTGAGGCCTTGGCAACGTGTGCAGTTTATAATGTCAGTGCTGATCTGTAAGCGTGCGGGCGAGCCAGCAGTTTGTGCTAATGTCCAGCTGGAAGGTAACATGCCTTGCCGAATATGTGTGGGCGCAGTCCTGCCCAGGGCCCTTGTGCTTGGGCGTCTCGGGGGGTGCCTTTGCAGGTCCCGCTCAGCAACGAACCATCGCCATCCATTGCGGATCAGATTTGCATCGTCGCTGATGTACGACCTCGCGGTTATCATTGCATTGAGACCCCTCTTTGCAGTATCGGGTCTAGATTGGTAGCAGGAGCTGACTCGACCGCGGCAACGTGCGCGACTTCGCAGAGTCCATTAGCAGGCATTACAACTTCGTTATTGCGACTGATACCTTTGGTCGCCGCCAGCATGGCGACTGCTGGAGGAGCCGCTGCAGCCAGCGGCGAGGACAAAAACGCTGGGGGAGAGATCCCAGTTCCCGTCTTCGATTGCACAAGCAAGACAATGAAGAAGTTTCTCTGGGAGGTCGCCACCTGGCAGACCGGCAGGGAGGTCAAACCCCTCAAGCAAAGAGCGACGCTTCTGGCGAGTCTCAAGGGCAAGGCTGAGGAGGCGCGCGAGGAGCTCGACCTGGACACCACCAAGGGCGATGACTCGGTGGAGGTCTTCCTGGCCTACCTCGGGGAGTGTTTTTCCGAGATCGAGGCGTTGGAGACACCCCAGCGCGCCTGGGGGCTTTCGTGAAGCCGGTCTGCGCCGGGCGCGAGTTCGAGGATATCCGCGACTTCAGCGACCGCTTCAACGGCGTCGCCACGAAACTGAAGGCAAAGGGCATTCAGGTGCCCGATGAGGTCTTGGCTGGCCTGTGCATCAAGGAGGCCCGACTGCCTCTTGGGCGCGCGGCCAGCTTACTCAATGCGGTCGGCAACAAGTTCAACCCCGCGAGGATCCAGGAGCAGCTCATGATTTACCTGCCCAAGGCTTCGGTCGTGGACGGCCACGGGGACCACCGCGACAAAGGAGGTTACGGAGGTCACAGGAAGGACCACACGAAGGTGTGCGCCACGGACGCCTGCGACGAGGAGCGTAAGGCCGAGGACAGATTCGACGGCGCATCCTTCGACAGCTCCGACGACTTCGACGACCCGCCAGACGAGCTGCTGGGCGCGGTCGACGACGCGGAGGAGCAAGCAGCCATTTTTACCAAGTAGATGGCGCGCGCCAAGGATAAGCTCAAGGAGGCTCAGCAGGCGCGCGGCTACTTCGCAGGGCGAGACGGCGGGCCCTTGCCGAAGAAGGACGACGCCAGGATCACCGAGATGAAGGCCAGGACGCGCTGCGGAGCTTGCGGCCTGAAGGGCCACTGGCGCGGCGACCCGCAATGCCCGAAGGAAAACGATCCCAGCGCGAAGGCCGACATTCCTCGCTAGGGGAGTCACGAGACGAACCTCGCCGCAAGTGGCGGGGCCGGCGACGCGCAGGAGCCCCGCGTGGCAGAGATGGCAGTCGCGGCGGTCTACTAGCAGGATCAGATTAGGGCGGCGAGGGCCAGCAGGCAGAGCGCGCTGCAAGCGATCGACCGGAAAATGCTGGGCCGGGGCGCCAATGCTCTCGAGGGGATGACTGCCTCCCACTTCTGGGGTCAGAAGATGAAGCATGGGGAGTCCTTCCAACGTCATGCAACGTGGCGCAGATCACGCAAAGAGATCATAGGCTACGAAGAGCAATGCCAGATAGTGAGCCTCAGCCAGGGTGTGTTCGATTGCATCAGCAGGCAAGCGGTAGCGAGCAACGGGAGCAGCCATCAGCCCGCAGTTATCAAACGGCATAATCACCGCAGCCATCCGGCTCGAGCTCAACTCTGGCTTCGCCAGCGAGTGCGGCGCGTGCCTTTGCATATCCAACCGCCGCAGCTTTCTACGATCCAGCGGTCGGCGCTGATGCCCCCGCCGCACCAGCGGTGTGCGACGTCTCCCAGGGCGACGAACCGGGGGGCCAGCGATTCGAGCATGCCGACGCCGAGCACTTTCCGGCTACCAGCGATCTCCAGCATGAGGATGCCGCAGTTACAGGCGGAAGTGGCAAGCTACGAGTTGGATGCGCGCGGCGCCGCGCGCGACCATTTCCGAGTGATCCTGCGCGAGCTGGGGGCCGAGGCGCACGACGGCAATGTGCTGGGCTACGTCCCAGTTTTGGGCATGGTGTGCAAGGAGGAGCTTCAGCAGCTGTGCAGGGAGAGGAACATCGAGTTCCACCTGCGGACGACTGTGCCGTAGCTGAGGCAGCGCCTCAAGGGCTGGCGGGTCGAGGGCGCCGTCAGCAGCGCCTTGGGCTCGGTGTCTCATCCGAGCTCGCAGACCAAGGGGGGCGACAAGATGCGCTTCGGCAAGTGCCCGACGGCCGACAACCATTGGGTGCTCAAGACCGACTTGGGCTACGAACGTTGGGCGGTCCTGGAGCTGGACAAGGGGCGAGCAAGCCCGCTCCTGGCGCGCTTCGCATGGTGGGTGAAGGCCCGCGGAGTCAAGCCGCTCCCGCAGGAGAAGGCCAAGGCCACCATTGAGGCAGTGATGGTCGAGGAGGTGGTGCTGGGCGACGAGGCGGTGGCGTCAGCGGCCATCGCCAAGGGAACCCCGATGAGGCAGGGGAGCTGGGTTGGATATCGCCGCGGGCGACCTCTTGAGAAGCGCGAGATGGGCGCCGGCGACGTGGGCTTTGCGAAGGCGGGCGAGACCGACTGGGAGACCCACGAGTCCCCAGCCGCTGCAGGGAAAGCCGCGGGTGGCAACGGCCGCCAGTGGGAGCCGCCGGCCTCGCGCCGGCGGCCAGACATCAAGAAAGGCAAGCGCGTTGGCCTCCTCTGCCAGGTCACGGGCTTGCTGGGCGCCTTCGCTTTTCAGGCGGTGCTTGCCGCGCAGTGGCTGTCCGGGCCCTTCAAGCTGTTCGCCCAGTATGCGACGGGCGCGGCGCAGGACTTGGCGGAGCACTTCAAGAGCGTCAAGGAGATCTACACCACTCGGAGCCATCGCGCGGACATCATGCAGGTATTCGGAGGCGAGGGGGCTGTATTATGGAGATGGCGCTGGGCCGCAACATCAGTGGAAGTGATCGACCGCAAGGGCGGCTGGGACTTCCGCGAGCAGAAGGACCTCGAGACGGCGTGGGACCTATTCCATTCATCGAGGCCGAGGTTCGTGTCGATCGAGCTACCCTGCGCCTACTGCGCGAGCATCACGCGCCTCAGCTTGGGCGCGCCGAAGGACAAGCAGGCACTGCGGCGACATTGGCGGGCAGAGCGGCCATTCATCTCGCTGGCCCGCGACCGCCGCCGGCCGGATCTGGGCACAGCGCGTGCTGAGGCAGCCGCTGACCGACGAGCGCGTGCACCTTGTGAGGCGCGACGTGTGCGAGTATGGGGCTCGACGCTACAATTCTGGGGGCTCATCGAGCACCCCGCCAGGCTGCTGGTCACCCACGAGGAGTTCGAGCAGCTGCGACGCACCTGCAGCCGCAAGCACCGGCACGACCAGACGGTCGGTGACAACGCGGCGGTGCGCAAGTCCGGCACTACCCTGCGAAGTTCCGCCGAGCGGTGGCGAGCGTCGTCGAGTGGATTATTTGCCGGCAAAGTGGCATTGCGCCTACGAGGTGGACTGCGGCATGTCGTTGTCGCCCTCCATCCTGACGGAGTCGAAGGAGCAGGCCACCGCCTAATTACGCGAACGATAGCGCGTCCCTGGGAGGGATGGGCGAGCCCACTGGGGGCCCAGACCCCGTGGGTGGCGGAGGTGACTTCGCTCATGCACGCGACGTGCGGGCCGACGAGACTGTGGGCGGCAGGATCGGGGTCGGCGCGATTATTTTCACAAAGAACACATCATCCTGCTGCAAGCCAGCCGAGCTGGCCATGCTCAAGAGACTTCACGTCGACTGGGGCCATCCGTCTGATGAAGACTTGGGTCGCAGCCTGCGACTCAAGAGCTCCAAGTCGGCCGCCGTCCAGGCCGTCGGGGGGCTGATCTGCGGGGTGCGCCGCTCGCAGCAGCGCCCGAGCGCAAAGAGACCAACGCACCTCCACTTCGGGCAAGGTTTCTTCGACGATGCGGGCTTCGACTGCTTCGAGCTCGAGGACGTCGACGGCAAGAGCTATTGGTATTTCAGCATCCTCGACCTGGCCATCACCTTGCACGTCGCGACGCTGATCGGTCGCCATGCTAGCCAGGAGTTCGCTGCCGCGTTCGAGAGTTGCTGGGCCTCCTGGGCAGGGGTGCCAGACTTAGTATTTTTCGACGTGGAGAAGGGGTGCGGCGGCGCCCTCAGCGAGCTGTTCCAGTCATTCAACACGGAGCAGCTACCCATCGCTGGACAGGCGCATAGGCAGCTCGGTCGAGAAAGCGGCAGGGAGCTTGGAGGAGGGAGCTCGCTGCGAGGACGATTGAGCACTCGTCAACCAAGGGCGAGGACGAGATGCGTTTGCTGGGCATCATGGTGTCGGGCGCGAAGAACTCGCTGAGGAGACGAGCTGGCTTCAGCCCCGCGCAGTGGGTGCTGGGGCGCCATCCCACGGTGCCCGCGGACTTGGTGGACGACGCGGCCAACTGCAGCGCCCGCAGCCTCGCCTCCAACGACGAGAAGATTCGCAGGCGCTATGCTATCCGGACGGTGGCGCGTGAGTCGTTCATGAGGATGCAGAACAACGACCAGCTCAGGCGGGCCGTGCTGGCTCGCGCGCGCACGGTGGCCACGCCCTTGTCAGTGGGTGAGATGTACCGCGTTTTCCGCAAGGTGAAGAAGAAGGACCAGAAGGAGCAGCGCAACCGCAGCGCCAAGAAGGGCATCCGGCGAGGTCCGTGCGTGGTCATCGGTCATACTGGCGAGAACACCTGGGTCTCGCTTGGAGGGCGCACCATGCTGGTGGCCCCGGAGAGCATCCAGGCGCTCGCTCCAGACGACGTCTTGCACTTGAATGGCAGGGGCGGGCTCGGACAGGCCATGGCCGAGCTAGATCAGGAGAAGGCGCCCGTGGAGGACATCCGCCCGGGGCCGGGCGAGCCCGAGGTGAAGCTGGACGAGATAGAGCAGGCGCGGCGGGAGCTCCTCGACAACCGGGACGACGACGACATCGGGCTGGACGTCCCGGTTGACCCGCAGCCAGAAGAGCATATCGAGGTGCAGCTCACCGGTCCAGCGCTACCAGCCTTGGAGGGGCCAACCTACGGCCCCGCTGAGCTTCGACGTCGGCGAGCCACTTTCGATGGAGCAGACAGCGGCGATTCCGGCCCGGCTTCCAAGCGCCTTCGCACCTCCAAGGAGCATGCGGGGTCAGGTGCCGCGCCTCCGAGGGCAGCGTCGCGCGACCCTGAGGCGGCGCTCGGCAGTGGACCGACGGCCAGATCCGAACCAGAAGGAGCTAGACAACGTTCAAGGTCCGCTCCCAGAGAGGCGATGCAGAGCTCCATCATCGCCGAGAGGATCACGCGCAAGCAGGCTGACAAGGAGATCCTCTTGAGGGCCATCAAGGAGTCCGACAGGGAGCGTTACCGGGAGGCGGCGGCCAAGCAGTGGAGCGAGTGTCAGAAGTGTGGCTCCTGCCAGGCGCTCTCCACCGAGGAGTCCGAGGCGGTCAGGGACAGGGTCAAGGCTTGCCTCATCCCGCGCAGCGGGTTCGTTTACCGGGGCAAGAGCGCGCCGATGCGGACCGAGAAGCACCCGCTGCCGGTCAAGTTCAAGGCCAGGCTATGCGTTGGAGGTCACAAGGGCCCGCGCCTGGCCCAGGGCGACTTGCGCGCGGGCGCGCCCGCGGTCACCCGCGACTCGACCATGCTGTTTTCGCCCTCTGCCACAGATTCGATCTGGAGATCTACGCGGTGTTCGTGGATGCGGCCTTCATGCAAGTCGACGAGCAGCCCGACCAGCATTTGTTCATGGCGCAGCCCCGCGAGGGCCTGCCTGGGCTACGCCCGAAGCGGCTGATCAAGATCTGTATGGGAGTTTTCGGGTTAGCTACGTCACCAGGGCAGTGGTGGGCGAAGCTCAAGAGAACCTTGCTTGCGGTGGAGGAGAACATAGGCGACAACTTCGTGTTCCGCCTGCGCCAGCATTCGCTGGATCCAGCGCTGCAAAACGGCTGCGACAAGCTCGGGGAGTCGCGCGTGGTGGCGGTCGCTCGCGTGGGCGACCGGTGGTGGGGCATCTCGCCCAAGTGCCCGAACCTGTGCGACAGATTCTACAAGCTACCGCCGTGGGCGGGCTGGAGAGGCTTGTCGTTTATATTCTGTGGCAAGCAGGCGTGGCGCGATGACGAGGGCGTTCTACATCTACGACAGACCGAGTACGCGAGCCCCATCGAGGAGATTGCACTCAGCAGGGCGCGCAAGACGGAGCTGCCGACGGAGGCGACGCTGGCCGAGATTCCGGACAGCCGCTCCGCTCTCGGAGCGCTGGGATGGCTCTCGTCGCAAACTCGACCAGGCTTGGCCGCCGGAGTGGCCATGGGGCAACGCGCGCAGAACAGGCCCACCATGCAGGATTTGCCCGGGGCGAATTGGCTCATCAAGCTGGAGCGGAAGCACGCGGATGTGGACTGGATTTTCCGAAGCTGCGTCGGCCGCTTTGCCTGGTCGCCAACCGCGACGCCAGCTGGGCCAGCGCGGACGAGCCGGCTGAGGGTGGCATATCCAAGCTTCTCTTCACAGCGGTGGGATCAAGCAGCAAGGACAAGGCGATGAGGAACAGCTCGCAGGCCGGCTGCGCGACCTTCCTCGCAGAAGCTAAATTGTTACGCCGAGATCGAGCGCGGGCAGGAATCGTAGATATTAGATCGGGCACTATCATGCGAGTCTGCAGGTCTACTTTGGCAGCTGCGACGATGTCAGCGGGGGGCGCTCCAGACGGTGCTCAGAATGCACGCTGTGTATTCGCTTCGCTGGAGATGCCAGATGCCCATCCTGAGGACATCCCGCCGAATTGACTACCGCTTGCTCAGGTCACAGATAGCGCTAACTTGCACGATGCGATGCACAGAGACGGTTACTCTAAGTTCCCGTCAGAGCGGCGCCTTTTGCTAGACCTAGTATGTCTCAAGGAGTTCCTCGAGGAAGAGCTCAGCCACGAAGTCGTTGCCGACGGTCAGCGTAGCCAGCTGCCTCTTTTGGGTCCCCACGGACCAGCAGTTCGGTGATCAGTTCACCAAGCGGTCGGACGGCAGGGCCGTCAGGGCAGTGCTACGAGACACCCGTCTCGCTTTGCAGCCTCAGGGGCCGAGAGACCAGGCCAGAGAACACGAGGTACGCATCAACAGTGCCGTCTCGGTTTTCAAGCGCGCCATGCGCCTGGTTGCATCTTAGTTCTGTTGACGTGCGATTAATACGTCGAAATGATCTAAGCGGATCAATGCACAGTCCAGAAGAATTCTGCACGAGTGTGACATGAATCACGTCAGTGCTGATCAGTAAGCAGTGTGGCACGGCATGCGGGCAGGCAAGCAGAATGTGCGAATCTCAGAAGGAAAGTAACATGCGTTGCCGTATTTATTTGGGCTCAATCCTTCTCAGGGCGTTTAAGGTTGTGCGTGTCGGGAGGTACCTCTGCAATCGCTGGTATACGACCTCATATTTATCATTGCGTTAAGACCCGTTTGTGGAGCATCGGGTCTACACAATGGTTTGCACGATCTGCGGCTCTTATCAGGTGTCCAGTGGAAAGGAAGCTCACTGTAAGTTGCCGGAGATTTGTCGTGGACCCCTAAACCACATAAGCCATAGCGGCTGTTCAGGGTGGTCGCCGCCCCAAGGCGGGCAAGTCTTTCGGTCCCGACTGAATTTATGTTTGTTGGGCCCGTGTTTCTGTCTTCGGTTGCGCGAGTTGGCTTGGCGCTGGTCCTCCTCTCTCCTCTTCCTTCTCTTCCCTCCTCCTCTTCATTTTCGTTCTTATCCTCCTATTCCTCCTTCCTCCTTCTCCTCCCTCTTCCTTTCCCCGCCCCGGTGCACACGTGCACCTTCATCGAGAACCACGACACCGCGCAGCTGGCCGCCGCGGGGGGCTGCTTCGGCAACAACGAGCAGGTGCTCCGAGGCTGGTCGTCGTGGCCGCCGTCATCCTCCCTCCGAGTAAACATTAGATTGCACCGGAAAGAAAAAACCAATCAGTGGATTTCCGAATTGGTATTTTGTACCTCGATCGGCCTTTCCCCCGCACTGGTCTAGTTCGAAAGTACGTTGTAGTCCAGTCAAGTTCTTCTCTGTTCCTCTCTTTCTCTCTATCGCTTCTTTCTCTGTTTCGTTCTCTCTCTCTCTCTCCCTCTCTCTCTCGTTCTTTCTTCCTCTCTTTCCCTGGGTGTCCCGTGGCGCCGGGGTGTCCTGTGCTAGTATATATATATATATACACATGTATGTATATGTATGTGTATGTCTATTTCTACATGTTAGCGGTGCTGTGTTACGGTAGTGATAGTGAGGTCAATACTGATACTGCTATGGATATCGATCGTGATGTTCATGGAGTGATATCGACTGTGTTGCCCATCGTGACATCGCTACTGAGATCGATCGAGGGGTTGGCAGTGAGGTCAAGTAGGTGAGTTCGATTGTGCGATCGATCGTGAGATCAGTATCGACATCGATAGTGCGATAGTGAGATCGGTCGTGAGATCGATCGTGAGATCGATCGTGATATCGATTGAGAGAGTTCGATAGAAAGATCGATTGAGCGTCTCTTCGATAGTGAGATTTGTCGTGAGATCGATCGAGTGATAAGGATCGTAATCTCGATAGGAGATCAGTACTGGTATCGATCGTAATATCGATTGAGTGGCCTGGATAGTGAGATCTATCGTGAGATCTATCGTGAGAGAGGTAGTGAGATCGACCGTGAGCTCGTTCGTGAAATTGGTAGTGCGATTGATGGTGTGAGCGATAGTGAGATCGGTTATGACATCGATGGTGATATAGATAGTGACATCGATAGTGACATCGATAGTGACATCGATAGTGAGACCAATAGTGAAAGCGATCGTGAGATCGATAGTGATATCGATCGATATCGATAGTGAGATCGATAGTGAGATCGACTGCGAGATCGATCGGGATATCAATCGTGAGATCGCTAGTGAGATCGATTGATTTACGTAGGATCGGTAGTGAGCTCGATATTGAGATCGATTGAGTGATATGGATGGTGATATCGATAGTGAGATCGATCGTGAGATCGACCGGGAACCTGGGAATCCAGGAACCAGGAAATTGAACCCTGGGAACCCCGGCGCCAACCGAAATCGGTCCAGAACCAGCAACTTGGAACCTGGGAGCCCAGAGCCGGGAACCTGGGAACCCACCCACCCACCGAAATCGGCCCAGAATTTTTGCCAAGTATTTCAACTTCTGCTGAGACCCCTTCAGTGCAAGCAGCGATTGGAGAACATCCTTACCCGCTCGGGCTCGCGGAAGCATGTAGCACCTGAAATGGCTGATTACTACCTTCTGTGGTAGGCCAGCCCAGTGGTGGCATCACTGCAAGAACGAAGCACATCACTGGGGCACCGTAAGTGAAGCAAGGATCTAATATCCTGGCGAAAGGCCCGCCTCTTTGGCAGCTGCGTGCAGTGTGGGGCGCGGCCCCCTTCCTAAGACAAGACGCGCCGCGGGGGGCTGCGCGACAAGTGCAAGAGGGCGCGCTGGCCTGCGGTCCCCTATTGGGGCGTGCCGAAGCGGGTGCGGCGCCGCCAAGCGAGTTCTTCAACTGGGGCTAGAGGTGGAGCTCCCTGTGGGGCTGCCTGCGGTCCTCGTGGTGGGTGTGCCGAGATGGGCGCGGCGCCGCCAGGCGAGTGCCTCCACTGGGGCCGGAGGTGGATCGGGCCAGAAGAAAAGCAAAAGGGTAGGATTGGGAAGGGCGGGGGGGTACGAAATTTATTGCCTGAGGTGCTGGGTGGTTGGGCCAGCCTCCATGGAGTGTCCTGGATCCGTGGTTTCTCGTGCCGTGGAGGCGAATCGGCAAATTGTTTCTGGGGGCTGGGCTAGCCACAAGCCATAAGCTCGTCAGATTGTGCACCCCCCGCGAGCACGACCACCATGGCTTTGCGGTGGTTGCGTGCACGAGCTGCGGGGCCGCGAGCAGCCCGCAGCTCCTGGGCCTCCTCCGCTCCTGTGTGGCTCCTGGGGTCCATGGCCAACGAGCCATTCGGAGGATGGAGGAGGGTTATGGCCCCCACGTGAAGGGGAGGAAGGTCGCCACGACCACCGCTGCGGTCGAGTAGCCGCGGCGGCCGCGCCGGGCGCACAGACGTGGGCCGCCGCTTCATGCGTTGCTGTGTGTGAGCTGTGGGACTTCTATCGCACGTTGGCAGCGGCGGGACTCTTCGTCGCGGAGGTGTACCAGGACACCAGGCGGGAGGGGCGCGTGAATGCCTGGGGCGGGGCAGGCACCCGCTACGTCCCGGCCGTCAAGACGGCGGGGGGGGCCGCTCTCAACTGGTTCCAATCGAAGGGTGGCCGCATCCGTGTCGATGGGAGCACCGAGTGCGTGGACCAGCTCAGGCCGCAGCTGCGCCGCGCCTTCCCCCCTTTCGTCCCAGACCGGGCCACCGGCAGACCGGTGAACCGTGCCACGGTCCAGCAGGGACGGGTCAGTGAGGAGGACGCCCGACGCCGTGAGCGCCAGGTGCGCATCGCAGGGAAGGCCCTGGCCGTCAGCGGGCAAGCGATGTTCCGCTCCGCGGCGGCAGAGAGGCAGGGAGCTACGCCCGGCGTCTGGGACCTCCTGGACGACCACATCGGCGCGCGCAACGTGCCGCCGTACCACTCCCTCCCCTGGCCGGTGGTCCTGCGCACCGGCGTCACTATCTCGATCAACGCCGACGGCCGGATCCGCTCCGCGGTTGGCCGCGCCCCTGTGCAGGCCGTGGAGGAGGCCGAGAGGATCCTGCAGCAGCACGCGGGCGCCAGGTGGATCGACGAGGATACCTTCGTTCAGGGGCAGCGCGCGATGGAGGTTCGGGGGAGCGTAAGACCCGGGTTTGCCGGGACTCGGGTTCGTCATCGTTTTTTGACGACCGCGCCTCGGATTTTGACGAGGAGGAGTTTCGTGGGATGTCTGCAGCGGGAGGCCTCGTCAAAATGCAGGCTCGGCCTCGTCATTTTTTTGACGACCTCGTCGGGGATTTCCGAGTCCCCCGTACCCGGGTCTTACGTCTCCCCGAGAGGTCGTCTACGGGGAGCTGGGGCCGCGGGCGATCGCCATGCAGCGGCAGCCAGTTTTTCGCGAGGCGCTGACCTCGAGGCGGCCGTCGCACAGGCGGCGGCCGCCGACCGGGGAGGGGCAGCGCCAACGACTGGCCGGGAGGCTGCCACGGCGCACTTTCGCTTGGGAGAGCTCGTCGAGGCAGAGGAGGCGCGCCCATACAGAGAGGCGCTCGCGGGCGCCCCTCCCAGCGCACAGCCCAGCCGACCAGACGCGCGGGGTCGCGATCTCACACGCTGGGCAGAGGGCGTTCGAGCCGATGTCGAGGCACTCCTCGCCGAATGGGCACAACTGGGCCCAGCTCGCGATCGGGCGCCCAGCCCGGGGCTCAGAGCGGCGGCGAGGGCCATGTCCGACTGCCTTCTCGCGACCGCGGAGGAGGCTGAGCGACGGGCAGACTCTCGCCACGGCGCCGCCGCCGCACACACCGCCGACTCGCAGTGGCGGCGCACGCCGGCCCCACCCGGATTGCGCGCCCCCCGACTACCCCTGACGGAGCAGCTGGACGCGTCTCCATCGCAGGGATCAGCGCGGGCTTGTCTGGCGGCGCCAACCTCCGTGGCACCGCGATCCTACCTGCCAGGTGGCGAGATGTGAGCTACCTCATGTGCGCGCTGCGTGCGGAGTTCTACGTCAGCACCGCCTGCCGCCTGCTGCCGGGCGTCGACCTGCCCACGCACGTGCCCGGTTTCCCGTATGAAGCGCTGGGGCCTACAACCGCGCGCTACGGAGCGGTGGTTGGCTTCAGGCTCCGCGAACCGGGCCTCGCAGTGGATTGGAAGCAGGAATTATCCGACACTGAGCGGATCCAGTGGTTCGTCGTGGACGGGCGCATCCTAGTGGGCGGCTTCTGCATCCCGCCCAAAGGGCCCGACGCCCCCGAGCACGCCCGAGCGGAAATCCTCATGTCGGTCTTCTCACAGTTCGACGCCGCGCGGCTGGCCCTGACTGGCATCGAGGCCGCCATAGTCTACGGCGACCTCAACCCCAGCCCCAGCCTCGAGCGGCTCGCTCAGCGGCAGATTAGGGCACGCAGCCTCTACGACCTCGTGCCCGCGGACACGCCGACCCACGTGGGCGGGCGGCGCCTGGACGTGGCATGGACGACCCTGGGCAGCCGCGTCATGGCGGCCGTCCACAACGGCTCGGCCTGCCGGGCTTCTGTGTGCGAGCTCCCGCATTGCGGCCAGCACGTGGCGCTGTTCCGCAACCACGACCTGGGCCATTACCCCGTGGAACTAGTGGGCCTCACAGCAACGACCCATGGGCTCTCGGAAGCAGCCCCCGCCCAGGGGCCTCGTGGGACTTTCAGCAAGGACCCTGAGGAATGGCTCCGAGCGCAGGGTCACGTCGCCGAGTTCGATGCGCTTGTTACCGAGGAGCTGAACAGGTGGCGCCTCCACCGAGGAACCTGGCAGGCACAGTCGGAGGAGGTCCTACAGGCGGCGGCGGGCGCGGCTTCCTGGCTCTGGAGGTCGTCCGCCTACCTTGCGGCCACGTGCGGCGGGCCGATCTGGACGACAAGGCCACAGGACCGGGCCGCCTAACTGGCGACTCCGCGCCCCCGCACGCTCCAAGCAGCGTGCGACCACCTCATGCACGAGACCCAGGCCCCCTCGAGTAATGAAAAAATCACTACGGGAGGTTTTTCTTAATTTTCGGCCTCTGGGGGCCCTCACCGGGCCTCGGGAGCGTCAAAAAGCGACTCAGGATGGAAAGCCGGTCATGGGGAAAGGGTCGGGACCTCTGGAGGGCGACGTAATGGAAAAATCATTACGTCGGGGGTCTGGGGACGGAGAGGGCGTCAAACGCAGCAGAGACCAGAGCAGCACGGTACATGG